GTCACTATCCAATAAAGGCATGAAAAGGCCTAAAATAAAAAAGATTATTAAAATACTGTTCATTATTTTTGATTGGACTGCTCTACAAGTGATAATTTATGAATAGCTGGTGCAACCCAATCCCCTGTTATTAAACCTGTAATAATAATATGATAATAATAATATTTTTGGCCACATGAGGGCCGACAAAACAAGTTGTCAACACAATATTGATATGTTATCACCTTTTAAGTTGATATCCCAAACATAGCAACAACTACTACTTTACCAGCAATTATCATTCATTTGAAGTCATGTTTCTGATGAATGTAAACAAAATATTCACTCTCTTTTAGCACTGTTTCTGGTCACTAACAACTCCTGTGGGAATTATATGGCTTTTTAGCTACTAAATGTTTCATTAATTTCACCAGCTAACTGAGTCTATCTGCTGTTTGGTGCTAAGCAGGTACTGTACAGTGGGTTTTTAGAGCTTTTTCACTGAAAACAGTTCCCTGCTGTGGCCAAAAACTATGCCAGCCAAAATAGATGCCGGCCCAAAGGTTAAACAATGAACTGAAAGTTGCTAATTAGCTACATGAAGCCAAGGGGGCCCATTCATATGGTCACATAGTTTTTACGTTGTCATTTTTTTTATTATTCTTGTAAAACAAATAATTATGGCTGCTTTAAAGTTACACATCAATCAGTTGACCCATGAATTAAAAAAGGAGATTTTCCAATAAAAACACGTTTTGCTTAATATCATCTTGCTTCCGATCTACTATCATCTTCATTTTGCTACTGTATGTGTGAGGCTAATATTTTTAGGACTGCCAATGCAGTCTGACTGGTCAAACCATTTAGTTGGATTTAGTCATCTGTCTGCAGCACTTGTCCTGTCTTTTCCCATTTTCAAATTCAAGTCAGTCTCTCCTTGGCGAGTGACAGTTTCCCCTGTCTAAAACAAGTTGAACAAGTGAATAATTTCCACAAGATATTTCAGTAGGGTGGAAGATTTTCTTCCCATGGGTCCAATCCAAGTCAAACACACTCACGAACTAGGAAAACTCTCACATCAAACAGCAAGATGTTGCACACCAAGGGAAATTTGGTAAACACAACACACCCTGGCTGTGAGAGTTGTACCGCTGTAGAGGCAGAATGGACGCAGTGACTTGTGCGATTATAGCGGCGTGGTGAGGTGACCTTATTTCCTAAGGGTGAACGGGCTGTCACTACCTGGAGGCTGCACAAACGTTTGATGCCTTCAGCCACACACCCAAAATTTAACAGCCAATCCTTTAAAATGGGATGAAAAAATTAAACATGAAATTAAAATATATGCAGTAGGGCATGCCAAAAAGAAACCACCTAAGAATTTGTGCAAGAAAACAGAATGAGGGGAATAAATAGAAAACAGGCTTGCAATTAAAGCCATAAAATTTCAATTAGCCTTCATATATTAATTAAATTTGACTTTAGCAACTGTAGAAGGAGGAGAAGGAATTTTCCTATACTCTGTTCCATACTACTCTACTTAGCTTTACAATTTGCTTTTGTAATTGATCATGAAACGGTTGCTGGGTGTGCCCACACAGCTGTTGTGCTGTAGCACTGTCTAATTAGCAGACTATGACCGATGACCCAGGACAGGATATGATGCGTACCTGCCTCTGGAGCTTTTGTAAACACTTGGGTGTGTTTTTCCCCTCGATCCTTCACTGCTTTGCCATAGGTCAAAAGAAAAACATGTCGAGGCCCTCCCCTTCGGCCCCTCAAAGTACTGTACTTTGTCTCTTCTTGTGGCTATTTCACCAAGTTATTTATAGTAAGTTGAATGATCAAGTGGTTTATAATTATAGGTTGATCTATATTTAGAGTGTGCAGCTTCACAAGCTGCAGTCAGATAATAGCTGAGTTATTTATCTTACTGATTTCTATCTCTCTGGTTTGATTAACAAATGCAGTAAAGTTCCTGTAAGCTTACAACTTGCATAATCCTGATAACATACTTCAGGAACGGATACCTGAAACTTAAGTGTTTGTGTGTGTGTGTGTGTGTGTGTGTGTGTGTGTGTGTGTGTGTGTGTGTGTGTGTGTGTGTGTGTGTGTGTGTGTGTGTGTGTGTGTGTGTGTGTGTGTGTGTGTGTGTGTGTTTGAGTGTATGTTTGTGTATATTTCCACATGTGTGCTCACAAGACAGGACATTTTTCTCAGAGCACTTTGGAGATGGAACTGATACTCAGCCTGGCCTGTCTGTTTTAAATTCATTGAATGAATGCCATTTAATAACATCTAGTATGGCACTTTAAGGACTTCCGTACAATATTTTTGCATGCCATACTAATAATTAATTCCTTCAGAACTGAAATCCAGGACTGATAAACAAAAATGCATTTATTTAGCATGTGTGTTTTGCATTTTTCTCTATCTCTCTTCAACCATGTCCAGCTCTATCATCTTTTTCAAGCCTCCATCTCTCCAAGCCAGTCTTCTTCCCTCTCGCCTCTTCCCTCAGCTGTTCCATGCCCCTGCTCCACTGGGATTGATACAATATTTTCCAACCTCAATTAGCAGAAAGCCTGTTGACTAATTCCAACTGTTTTTGCACCTGAGAGGGAGTTGGGAGTCGGGGCTGGAAAAACTGAGTGGGGTGGAGGTGAGGACCGGGGCCTGGGTGTAGCAGGCAGGGCTGTTGGGGCAATATAGCTGTGTCGACAAGAGTGTTAAGGGCAACACAGAGGACAGAGGAGGGGTCGGCCAGACTGCTGGGCAGGATTTGTGAAAGCTGCATGCAGGCTCAGGACAACCCTGAGCTCAGCTACTCTAAGTTAAGCTACGCAGGGATGCGCTTTATCTTGCAGAAAACAAAGATTAATAGAGGCTAAAACAGTACTGTGTCTTCAACATCATGTATGTCTGTTTGGGTATGTATGTGCTTTTGCAAGAATTCAAGCACATGCATTATATTACATTATCCTTTTTTTTGTATTCTTAGAAAAAGGTGGTATTAATAAAATCCTAAAAAGAAATGTGTTTTCTTTCCTGTGCTGATGTTGCACTCCAGTATCTCTGTCACTGCTGTTGTCATTAAATATGTACAACCTCCTGCTTGTCCTGCCACTCTAATCTATAGCATGGCCGCCGTATCAGTATCAAGAAATTGTGTGGGTCAGGAGTCTTTAAGTCTGTTGATGGCAGTAATGGTAGCCTCACACACAGACAGAGTGGGACCTCAAAACGGTCTTAAACCAGATCTGCCCCATTGTGAGGCACAACCACCGACTGACCACAGGGTCTACATGACCACTGGTTTGGCGCTGTGCTCAGCTCAGGGTGCAGGTACACACCCTCGTTCTGTGTGAGCACAGAAAGAATCGTTCTTTCCACCAAAGGAAATGAGAGGATGATGGCTAAAGTGTATGAGGACATTACTTTTAAGGGGACTGCACTTTTTCATAGAGAGCTACTGCAACCACCTAAGAATTAATGACATGACTATGGCAAGAAAAAGCATGAATTTCACAATCCTCAGGCATTACTTTTGCTGTTTTCCAAAAACTCTGAACACTAATTCAAACTCCCTCATGTTGCCAGATTGCTATTGCTACCACTATTCCAAGTGTCAAATACAAGCAAAGTTTGGGAGTAATGTTTTATTATGGTGGCTGACATACTGTATATTACCACTAAAATGAGAGAATAATGTCCCAACTTGGATAAGCCCACAGGTCCAAATTTAACACAGTAATAATTCATCTCAACTTGAATTTCTACAAGCGTGTGTGGTTTTAAAAGATTCTGCCAGGTGACTAATCCCGACAGGTTAACAAATGTCATCCAGTCTGCAGCTTGGAGCTTATTGAAACAGTGGCAACAGACTGGCTGGCCTATTAGCAGGACGCAGCAGCTGCTCCTGCCCCCAGTAGCCGTATGGAAAAAGTCTGACTCACCCACTTGTGTAAAAAGGCATTAACGACCAAATACATAAATATTACCGTCAAAGGCATAAATGTCTCTGAGGGCTATCCAGTCTGTCAGTCAGCCAGTGACTAATGGAGAAGGAGGTCAGATCATGACCAGAGTCGGCTCATCTGACCTGGTCAAGCATCTGAAAGACACCCATTGATAGATACAGTGAAGAGGCCCAACTGCTCTATGAAGAACCTCTTCTCAGGTGTCCCTGAACCACAGATTAGCTACAGACCACAGGCTTTCCAACAGAATAACCTATTTGGGTCTGTCTTGAACTGCGTGTTAGATGCAGCGATCAGGGTTGGGAAGTGTTCTCTCCAGTCTGAGCAGGTGCTTAGAGGCACGATGTGGCGCAAGGAAAAGCCACAATCATAGGAGACTCTAAAGAGAGATTTAGACCTGTGTGCACTACTGCCTGAAATATGTGATTGCAAACAGTAAATTTCTCTATTAAAAAAATCCCAAATACCAATGCAAGTTGCATGAGGTCAGATCATTGCTTTAAATTAAAGGTTTTTTCTTAGCACTCCTAAATCTGACTGAAACTGCAATCTCATTACTTAAGACTAATCAAACTGTGAACAATACACATGAATCTGTGTTTGCATTTGCTAGAGGAATGTGTTTCTGTGTACACCTGCTACTTACAATTGATGCACTCTCATCACAGTTTTGACAAGTTAATCCCCAGTGAAACTAAAGCTTTTTTTCCAAGCCCAGTTGCATTGCCAACTGATGCTCAATGTCTCTCCTCAAGTCAGCTTTCTTGTGCCGGCTGTCCCATGGGGAGCCTTAATCCACACTGGGGTATTCCTTTCTTACTTAGCAACGCGTCTCTCATGCTCTAAACACAACACAAATAGCTCAGCAGTGATAGAACCATAGGGTATCCCTATGAACTGCTATAAAAGTGAACAGATAAGAAAGTCCAGCCATAAAAATAAAAAGTGAGAACGTCACAGGGCATCCTGACCGCTCTGTGACACCCAACACACTTTGGAGATACAGAACTTAGATGCGCTCTGGCAGTGCCAGCTACTTACTGTCTGCGTAGTTTTTCCGGCGGGTGCCGTCCACCTTGCCCGTTTTGTCAATGCAGAGGAAGAACTTGTTGGCAGAGTAAAGTCGCCGTAGTCGTACGTCGCCCTCTAGGTGATTGTAACTGCGAGTGTGCCTTTCCAACGTCCATGAACAGTTGATGCCACTCGCCAACACCTGAAGGGGTTCATGCCCAACCCCGGGAGGACAGGCCCCTGTGGCAGTGCCAGCGGTGACCAGGAGCAGGGTGAAGCATGCCAGGCAAAGGGAGGCTGCGCTGGGCAGGGGGAGAAGTCGCCCAGCGGAGGCTGCAGTAGTGGTGCCAAGGGCAGGTTCAGGACAGAGATGAGCTACGGACGGCGTCCATCTGCACATGGTGGGTCAGACTCCCAAGGTGCACCTTGTGCAAGCTGTAGGCATGCTGATGATCAGGAGATGTCCCAGTGGAGGGATGACAAGAGGGTGGGAGTCCTGAACTGAGAAGGGAGGGAAATGGCACTAACAGCAGATCCTCTGGATGTCACTGATGACCAGTTGGGCTGACAGTAGGCCTTTCTACAGCAACAAGCTTGTCAAAGTTTCTCCAGCTGTCATCTTCAGTCTTGTGTCCGTTTCTATTTGCCCGAATCCTTCATGGAATGTTGTAATAGTATGAATCCACCTTTAAAAGTTCCTCTTTATTGTCGTTCCTTGTTTCTCTGTTTGGTCTCCTCCTTGGACTGAGGTCTTCTTTCCCGTAGCACAGATAAAGTCCTGGGATCTTTAAGGATGCGCATGTGTGTGTTTGTCTGTGTGTGTGTAAAAATATGTGTTTTTGTGTGAATATGTGCGTGTGCACCTTGCGATGCTCTACTCTTTCCAGCTGAATAGGAACAAGGTGCCTGTCTGAGCTGCTGACCCGTGGCTGAGAGGGAGTTGAATGAGGGTTGGTGACTGACTCTGTGCGTGTGTGTATGTGTGAGTGTGTGATACTGAAAGAGGGAGAGAGAAAGAGAGAGGGAGTGAGCGAGTGAGTATGGGAGGGAGAGAGCTGGTGTGTGTTTGCGACAGAGAGCAAGAGAGAGAGGGAGAGAGAGAGGCAGTGAGAGTGTGTCTGTATGTGTCAGGGTGAGCGGCAGTCAGCGAGTGTGTGTCAGCTAGCACGGGGCAGTGAAGCAGTAAGTGAACGGCCTCACGCTCTGCTGTGTGCAGTCAGTCAGTCAGTCCTCTCTTCTGTGGAGGCACCGGCTGAGTTGTCCTGCATTTTATCCTGGGCAGGGCCAGCATCTAGGGGGTTGAAAGGAGAGGGGTGGGGCCACCACACTCATTCATAACCATTTCAAACAAATGAGAAAGCCTGCATCAAGCACCGTCCCCTTTCTTTTCTTTCTCAGAAAAGTTTATTCTGTGAGAAACAAGTCATTTGCTTTTCACCTGAGGATTTTATTATCCTCTTTTCTTTTTCTTCTTGGTCTTTTGGTCACAGACACCTGGAAAGACTTACATCCCTTTCCTATCCCATGACCTCTGCTGTCTCCTTGATGTGAATGGTGAAGCATTTTGTAACACGGTCAAATCAGCTCCATTACTGTCCAGTGAACCAGCTAGGAGACCGTTTTTTGACACCTTCGCTCTCTTTTCTTCTCTCTGGCCACATGGGGCAAATTAAGGGAGCCTTTCCTTTTTTTTACGGCTGCTGGTTTGAATCATCAAGCAGTTACAAACACAGAGCAGGTTGCAGGAGTGTCGGCAGAGTTAGTCCAGATGAAGCCTGAGAGACTTTCTGATCACCTGTGTTAATATTTCAATGAAACACCCTCTCTGATCTTTGCTGTTTCATTTGGGAGAGCAGGACGGAAATGAAGAACACCTTTTTTGTGACTTCCCACACTCTTGTCTGTTTTTTACAAGCTGTGTAATGAACCTGATTAGGAGAAGGCATTAAAGCTCAGCCAACCTATTCCAGTTAACAGTGATGACTCTTTATTTCAGGCCTTTGCTATTACTATATACATATATAGTCTTATTCTGAACTGAACTAGAACTTAAAGGTACAGTGTGTAACATTTAGAAGAATCAATGGGCAGAAACAGAATGTAATATGCGTAGGTATCTTTAAAATAAATAATGTATTATCATCTGAATATAAGAATCGTTATGTTTTTGTTACTTTAAAATGGACCTTTTATATCTACAGACGATGCTAGTCACCTTCCATGCAGTCCGCCATGTTAACTGCCCTGTTTCTACAGTAGCTCAGGAAGGACAAACCAAACACTGGCTCTAGATTTTTCGTGCACTGGACCTTTAAAGGAAAACTTTGAGAGCGAGTTCATTGAAATGATACACTCTCATATGTGAACCATAAATACTGTATAAACTACAGCCAGTAGCCTATCAATATGTAAAACAGGGTAAATTGTTGTAGTACAGATTAAACAAACAACATGTTAAGTAGTGAGCTTTAAAGGTGCTGGTAGGCTGATTTTGTTACCTTTGGACATAGCCAGGCGAGCTGTTTCCACTCTTTGTGCTAAGTTAAGCAAAGTGCCTGCTGGCTCCAGCTACATATTTACTGTACAGACACCAGAGTGCTATCGATCTTTGAATCTAAAGCTTTAACTTCAACGCAGGCGCTGTCGTGGATAGCTGTGGACTTGATAGAAAGAGAGAGATTGAAAAAGTGGGATAAATAAAGAGACGATGCAGAAGTTCTCAAGTTGGGGCAGTCCAGTTAGCTGTAGCAATTACCTCCTTTTAAAAAGAGTCCCTGTTTCAATTATGAGTACCACACTGAGGCCATGCTTGTCCAGTGCTGGAAGTGTGTTTGAGGAGAATGTGCTCAGGGAAGGTGACAGTCACTTCACACTCTGCAGCTTGTTAACTGCCCCCAGAGACTTGCTGTCCCCCTAGCCCCTATTTAAACCTTACATCATAAAAAAAAAACCCTCTTTCTCCAAACTCCCTGCTCCAGCCCCTAACTCCCCCAAGCCATTCCTGTCTACCTGCCAGTATGTTCTGGTCCTTGGTGCCTGCCAGGCTCCTCATCAAAGCTACTTTCAGCATACGTAGATCTATAAGAGCCCTTTGTACAAATCAGTCTTTCACCCTCATTTAAACCACGCTGCCGTGTCTGTTAACTTCCTCTGGCTTTATCCGTCTTCCGGTTTTCCGTCTTTTCTTTCCTCCTCTCTCTGTCCTTGCAAGTGAAATCTGTTCTGCAGTTTTTAGTCACCACCTGCATGAGCTTTCAAACATTACTGGAAGTGGTGGGAGTCAGAACGAGAAACAAAGAAGAGCAACAGAGAGGGACAGAGAGCATTGTGAATGTGTTTTTTGTTAGTGTTGTATGAAGTTTCCCCATCTCCAAAAACCAAAAACATGTAGATACTTTTCAGGACATCTGAGTGTTTGCAGGCTTGGCTGAGTAATTTATTTATTGTTCTCTCTCTATCAGCACTGATAGGAAATAATATTATATGGTTATATAAGCCATTTGGATAATGGCTGCCTAGCCTTAATGATGGACTAAAGTGTATAAAGAAAATATGTCATTTGAACACAAAATTATGGCAATGATGGAGTTGCATCATCATGGCCAACTTTAGAAGGCATGGCAAACTATTCAGTTAGTAACAGAGAGACATCATTTTTGTTGTGGAGAACTAATGCATTTTAAGCTTTCTGTTAAAATTAACCTTTTACACATTGTGCTGCTCCCTTCCTTTTCCTTTGCTGATTGAGGCAGATTGTTTTGTTACACATGCTGGCTAGTCAGATGATGCTTCCAGCTAATAGTCCCAACAGACTCCATATGTCAATTATAAACTCTCCAACCGCCTTAACCATTTCTTTTTCCAGTATGACATTGATCATGTTTGGAGCAGAGTTGGCAACTTTTTCAAAGTCATAGAAGTTAAACTGGAATTTGTACGACTTTTTGATCAGTGAGAGATATTATTCAGACAAGAAGTCACTCTAGTCTTTACAATAAGGGACACGACATTTTGAATAGTTACCAGGCAACAAATGAGTAACTTACTGCTAGGGAACAATTTGTTAAAACATTTTATTTTTTTTAGAGTGGCTAATGATTAGTTAATGATTTATTAATTAAGAAACGAGTGAGGAACAAATCAGGAACGACTGGATAAGTGATGAATCATTGATTAGTACTTCATACTCTAATAACTTCTAATGGAGGAATATAGTAGAAACGATAAGTTACTAGAGAACAGACTGAGAGATCCTATATTAATGAATCATTAGGTAATGATTATTTCATGAATATCTGTGACTCAATTATACTGACTCTTCATAAGTTGTTCCTGATTAACTCAGAACCAGCTGGTGAACGGTGGTGATTCTATTTCTGTTTTGTAAAATAAAATAAAAAAGATTAATTGTTCTCAATTGGAGGACACAGTCTCTTATTATTTTGTGTTTGAGTGTAGTCTGTGTTCCAAATACACACACACACACACACACACACACACACACACACACACGCACAAGCAAACAAACAAACAAAACAAAGAAAGAGAAGAAACCAGAGAAAGTGAGAGAGAAAAAGAGAATAAAAAACCCTCATGAAGTTCCAGTTGTCCTTCCTTTGCTGAAAGTCCCCATAATTAAAATCATACAATCATTCTATGTACTGTATAACTTCTAAAAAATCGGCATGCCTCCTGAGGTCAACAACAAAGCTCGGGCCTCATGTGAATGTCAGATGTGGCAGCAGATTGCTTTGTGGTGTCTTGGAAGCAAATGTTTGGGCTCTGAGCTCAATGCCAGAGCAGACACAAGCATAATGTATTTCTTTGTCAAATGTCTTAATGTGCAATCGCTTGCTGTTTTACATTGTGCATCTTTGACATTTGAAAACTGCAGTAATTTACAAGGTTGTGACACATGCTGAGGAGTTCTTAAATGTCTGGTTCAAACTATTGCTGTTTACAACAGTCTAGCTCATTTGCAATTTATAATCAAGTCAGGAAGGAATCCACTGCACTTACAGCATCTGCACTTATAGTTTGATAGATACAAGGAACAAGAATGATGCTAGAGGCTCTAAGAGACAGTGGTTCTTTGCTAATTGGGATTAGACACCAAGTTAGACACCAAATTAGAAATTCAACGTGATGATGACACTGGAAGAATGGTCAAGCTATCAGTAAGATATCACAATTCACCCCAAGGGGAACGTGACTGTCTATCCCAAATTTTCTGGCAATCCATCCAATAGTTGTTGAGATATTTCACAAAAAATACAAATTTCAGCCTCATAGGGGTTAGAAGAAAAAAACCTGAGGTCAACCAAGTCACCATTAATGTCAAATCCATCCAGTGGTTGTAGAGGTATTTCCGTCTGAACCAACGTGCCCGGACAGATCAACTGTCAGACAGACGTTGCCGTCGCTAGAGCTGCTAACTAGCTACAAAGATCCTTGCTCTGACTTTAGTGTGATCTCTAACGACCACAACATGCCTGATGTCAGTCTGCCACAGATGGATTATATTGGATCTGTATCCCCTGAGTTGTGTTGAATTGAGCCGTGCTGTGTGGGTGTGCCCTGAGCTGAGAACACCACTCTGTGAGCCAGGCACCCAAGGAGGATGTTCTCAAGTGGAGGAACCTAATCTTTCCCAGCAGGAATCCAAGCGGCTCTGTAAGTGTATGAATAGAGATAATATCTCTATAATGAGGCCTGTTTTGTACCATCAAAGTCTTCAAAAGGGTCTGAAACCCGACCTCCCTCCTAGCACTGACAATCCCTCAGTAATAGCTCCCTATTATTAATTGTTTTGTCGGCCTGCTAAGTCCTTGTCTCCCTCTTTTTCTCTCTTGCTCTTGTAGTTGTGTTTTAGCAGCTCACCCATGACCTGGTGCTTTTAAGTGTTCTGACATTCTGCCAGTTTGTAACTCAGTGGTAAGAAGGTGTTTGTTTTCCTCTTTTCAAATGAAAGTGTTTCCAGATACTGAACAATCTACTTTCTCTTTATTGTAGATGCTAAGCTGCAGGGAGTTGCAACACTCACATAAGGAAATTATCTCACACATATTATTCACGGGCAGTAAATTCTCATAATTTCAGCGATTATGCAATTTATCCCTACAGCATGTCCAACACTGCCTGTGTTGTTAGGTCAGACCCAACACAGGTGTGCTTCATATCTTTGAGCAAGTCTGCTGTGGTTGGCTGGCAAACATCCGGATGTGGTTAAAGGAACTGACCAGACCACCCCAACTCAGCTCCACTGAGGACATGGCCCTTTGCATATCCTGCTTCGTGACCATTGTCTATTGTCAGTGGTGTTCTGATAAGTGGGTCGTCTATCTGATGCTGTGAAGAGTTCTGAGAGATTCAGCCTCCCAGTTCTTCACAGGACAGCAAGCGGAGATCCAGCTCACTGATAGCGTTTGATGAAAAAAACGTGACTTGTCACTTGTGATTAAACATCTGTGCACTGCTCATCTGATATACCAGAAACACAAAACGGAACACACAGATAGAACAGGATAGTGGTGGTGAGGAATGACAAAGCACTTTAAAAATCTTTGCCGACTCTGCATTTCTTCACTCTCTTAATAGTTGCAGTAGCTTTGTGTGAGTATTGAGGTTGACCTAGCATCATTAAAGTCTGAAGTATACATCATTCTTTCAAATTATTCTATTAAGATACACTTGTAAATAGCACAATAGTAGCATGACACATCTTAAGACATTCTAACTGACTCACTAATTGAACCCATCTTAAAATGCATGTGTGGGGAAACCCAATAAGTGCTGAGTGAGTCACAGCAGTCCAGTAAAGGCCTGTGCATAAGCCTGAAGGATTATTCTAATGTTTGTTTCTCTGTAATGGACAGTAATGGACATAAAGTGTGTGATGTGATGACTAATATTTCAGAATTAATGATTGTATCAGTTCTCTGGAAGTTTAGAGTAGACTGGAAAAAAAACTAATGTGCTGCATGTCTCAACATGAGCCTAAAAAAAACTGTTGAATAAAGTTTTCCTAAATAGGACTTTTCAGATGTCACGTATGTGGAGCTTTAAGAAAGCACTTTTTTTTCAAATGGTGACAGGTCACTAATTCCGTGTAAGTGACACAGAAACACACACAAGAGACTCGCACACAAACACATGCCAAAGGCATTTACCAACACAAGCATCTCACAGAGAAGTATCTCCATCAAAAACAGCCCTCTCTCCATCTGTTAAACAAATAGGGAGTCTCTACAAAGGTGTGCAAAAGAATCCACATGATCAAAGTGTATGAGAATGGCAGCCTTGTCCTGGCCTGGCCATTATCAGGCCCCATGAATGCCTGTCTTCTCCTCTTTTGTCGGTCGAGGCATTGACAGTCACTCACCCGGCAATGACTGTCACACCAGCGCAAAGAGCCAGCCGCCAACAGGGGCCAACCACATCAAACGAGGCTGTCAAGGGGCCCTGCTCGTGAACCGTGGCAACAAACACCTCCTGATCCTCACCTACAGCTCAGCAGCAGACACCCACTGCTGTGCTCTCAGCTACTGCCTCCACTGAGAAAAGATGTACTGCCTGGACCCCATTTCCCTCTCTTCAGCCCCCCTTCTCTCTCTTTCTCTCTCTCTCTCCCTCTCACTGTCTCACTCTCTCTGTCAAGTAGTGCTTGTGTTAACCTCCAGCCTGCCGAGACACAAAAGGCTGCTAAAGTGTTTAAGAATGCTTTATGGATGCATGACAAGGGGAGACTGACACTGCTGGGGGTCAGAAAGTATACAGGATGTGAATGAGATACATTCAGTTTTACTTTTCAAAAGTCGACTGGAAGAAGACGACAGTAATTTACAATGGGCTGTGTCATGAACTTTGGTCAAATCAGCTTGAGTGCAGGTTATACTACCAGCTACAGATTAAATGAATGGAAATAAATGTAACCTTGATGAGAAGTTTACGTTCGTACCACAATAACTGTGAGTTCTGTACAACTCCTGAGAAAACCGACACATAGGATTTTGTGCAGTTTTTAATCAGCAGTTTCTGGGATAACAAAGCTTCAAACACTGTGAATTTAATTTTAAATCAACATCACAATTTATGCTGAAGGTCTTAAGCAAAAATGATCCACAACTCCGTCTGCTGCAGATTCAATATTTATGTCTACACAAGTAAAACCTAGTACAGGAAGTAAATTTAAGTGCTGGACAATAAAGTTTCAACCATTTCTACATATAACCAGTATACACTATAGTATATAGTAGAGTATAGTCCTAACTAGTATGATCTAAACTGTAGCCTACTATTCCTATAACTTATACCAAAATATTTGACACCTCAGAGAATCATATATTTATGTGGGGTGTAAAAACATAACATGGCATAAATGTGAATATAAATGTCAAAATATGATACAAGACATTTTGCCTGTATCATTGTAAGACACTCACTCACTCCAGTCCTACTTTGGCTGACTGTGATGAGACTGCCACCTGCAGGCCAAACATAATTCACTATCCATTTCAAACTACTATGATGTGTGTGAACATTTCAGTTGAACCATTGTAAGACAGAAGGGAAAAGAGGATGATATTCAGAAACAATCAGCAATAGTGTAGTTCTGCCTAAAAAAAAACGTACTGCTATCACTTTAAATATCTCTATTTATGTCCTGAATCTACTCCAACATTTGCAGGGAGGGCAGGAGAGACAAAGGACCCAAAAGAACCTGGCTGCAGACAGGAAGGCAACCAACTGTCAAACAAGACGGTATTCGGTATGCAAGTCACATGAAATCAACAGCAGGAAGTAGTATGTTTTGCGGTTTTATGATTATTTCTTAGGGCCATAAAGATTCAAATAAAATGAGACTGGAGGCAAAAAAAACCCCAAACTAATCAAAACATGCCTATGAATACGATATTCCTTTTCTACCAATAGATCCTCCTAAATGTTACACACTGGACATTTAATACACAGATAGAAGCTATCATTTCTTTTATACATCACTCTTTGCTAAAAAAAACTAGTCCACAACAAAGTAAGTGTTTGTCTAATTATTCTCAACAGTGCCGCCATTCCAGACAAGTCTGATGAGCAGCAAAGTCCACTGCAGTAAGAGCCTCAAACCTGTGCCCACAGTCACTTTATAATCCTTAAGCTCTTTAACAGTTATGAATATTTGTTTAAATCTGTATTCTATACATCATTTTCTGCATTGCTTTTCTAGTAAGGTTATTGCATTGCCTTGAGTTATATTGCAACACCATTATAATGTTATAATGAGAATTACTTGAATCTCGATACTTAATATAATAATAACAACTGAGTACTGAAATCTTTGATTTCTATTTTTTATTATTGTTGTTGTATAATTATTCTTACCGATCTCCGTATTGTTAGTACCATTAGATTAGTCTATATACATGTACAATGGTTAGTTCTAAGAAAGTTTTTACTTATCACTGGTGTAACTTGTGTTTGTCACAACCATTATCAACAACTCAGTTTCATACAATCCCATTTTGTTAAATATTTTTTGTGTGTGGACGTCTGCCTATATTGCTCTGCAAATAAGACATTTATACAACGATTAATAAAATAGTTGATTATTTCATCACCTTCACTGTTCATTTTAACGTAATAATTATTACAACATTATTGTTCATGAATAGCTCAACTACAAAAACAAATTATATATGATGATATGACGATAATCAGGTTAGAATCTAACTTGAATAATATTCTGTGTAACATTAATAATATTTCTTTTAAAAGTACAAAAAGTGAAGTGTTTTGTGTCCTGATGATTCACAGAGGGATAGGGTCTTGCACTGTAGGCTCAGTGTCCTCAACCTGGCAACCCCGGACTGCAGTACCCATTTCAAACACTCGCTGTGACTCTTTTATTGCTCCTTTAACACGTTAACCCAAAACCAAATGACCAAAGGTTTGTGGCAATGTAGTGTAATCATAACTTAATATACCTTTGTCGCGGCAGCCATTTTGACATGAACACAGGTGTTACCAACGACATTAAGGTCCCGCTGCACTGAGGTCAAACCTGTATCTGTCGATGGGGTCAAACTAAGTGTGAACCAGAGCGCTGCATGATGGTGGCTCTGCTGCACTATATGGACCAGAAGTTGAGTTAGTGTTATTGGAAACACCTGTGACTACCCCACTATGTCGTGTCAAAAGGTTACTGTGAAAAAAATGTCTAAAATAATCAAAACATTTAGAAAAACGCAACAAAAAAAAAAAAAAAAAAAAAAAACGCCGCCACACTCGAATTATCTGCGATCTTCTAGCCATGCCTTAAACTATAATGATCGCTCCTCGCAACTAGCTTGGTCTCAGGGATATTAGGGACAAATGGGGAGACGGTGTGGGAAACACAGAGAGGGCATATATTTCCCACTAAACACAGGATTGCTTAATATAATATAGTTTTATTTTATTTTATTTATTTAGTTCATAGATAAAGAATGTAAACTTAATGTAAACTAAATCCGGCTCCACACACTCCGGTACGGTAGGTGGCGCTATGCACCTGTACATTGAGATTGCAATCCGCCGGAAAAAACCCCACAAAGAAGTAGCTCGGTCTCATTGAACATGGCGTCCTAGTGCTCAGAAGTAACGTGGTTATTACAAGTCAACATGTTACTACTTACAGTAGGAGGCTTTGCCAAATGTCTGAGTCGGCGCTGTTTATTTGAGAAGTATGCTGTTCGCGCGTCTTTTGCGGACTCCTGTCAGCTGTGTGTGTCGAGGAGGAACAGCGCAGTCAGACGAATATCAGGTGAGTCTGTCTCCCATAGGTGTCACAGCCAGGACAGTCGCAATGTGATGGACAAGTTCGCTCCGGTTCGTCGAGACCTCTGGTGCCTGTGTACTTTTAGGGTTCACCAAATAGCTCTTGTGATGCTGGATACATTTGTTGTGTTTAAACAAAGGTGGAAAAGGCTATTATTGAGTCCAGCATGTTTTGTTTGTGGACACTAGCTTGAGTGGTGTCCTTCATGTTGCGTGTCTTCATTGAGACAACTTGAGACGGTAGAACTGCCATTAATGTGTGTTGTTAGTGACTCTGTGGGTTAGCTCGAAGCTCTCCATCAATAAATGTGAATGCACTGAACTGTAGGGCTGTGTATTGGCAAGACTCTGGCGATACGGTATGTGTCACCATACAGGGGTTACGATTCAATATGCTGCAATAAATTGTGATACTGTAAGTAAGTTGATAGATTGATATTTGTTCTAATTGTAGGAAAAGTGTTATATTATACAACACTGTTTACAACACTGTTATCTACCGTTTGGGGTTTAAACACAAAAATCGATACAATATCACAAAACAAAATATCACGATACAATATTTTCTTATGCCACAACTAAACTCTAACATTACTTCACAATATTAGTGTCAAACAGTCTGTATTGGCAGACTATGTGGTGGCTGAAGCTCAGGTGGTGGAGTGGGACGGCTCGGTGGTTCGATACCCTGCTCCTCCTGGTCCTTAACTGGGACTCCAGAGTGATGTAATGTTAGAAGCGATTGGTTAGGAAGATGAGGGAATATTTATTTGTTTGTCTGCAATATTTACTGTAATGTCTAATGTATACACCTGTTATTTGTTTTTGTTTTTCAGAGACACCCCTGTGGCTTCAAAGAAGAAATGTCACATTTGTAATTCCAAAGACAGAAGATGGAAAGAAACGTGTACTGGAGCAGTCTCAGTTGTTAGACGGTATGTTATCGGAGAGACAGGGGGTTGTCTTGCTTTCAGCCCAAACGACATTTGTTTACTGTTTTGTCCAAGACTCCTGGTAGAAATTCTGTTACACTGATGGGTCCCGAAGATCCTCATCAGTTATTTTGTGGAAATTGTGCAGTAGTGTTAGTCAGGCTTTTCTGTTCCGTAACTGGTTCCTACTGTATGTGTCCTAGGTGTTGCTAGGCCTAATCAGCAGCTGTAGCTTGTAGTTCTTTCTGTATTTCCGCGTATTACTTTGACATTGTCATTTATGTCCAAATGCCTTTTCTGTTTCTCCTTCTCAGTGCTTGAGGCCAGAATCCACCAACTCCAATCTGATGTCATTCTAGATGTCCAACATGCAAAGGTGCAATTTGTTACAGCCCAATCCTCTGGAAGAGAGTTTTTATCTGGTAAGGGCCCTAAAAGGAAACCACAGGAGAAAACTGACATTCCTAAATCAGCGCCGATAGTTTTGAAATCCAAGCAAAAGTTAAGTGAGGACAACACAGGGAAACTTAGGAAACAGCAGATAGTCAGTGAGAAACCCACGGAGAAAATGAAGCAGAAGGTCCAGAAGAAGAAATTAAAGGAACCTCTAAAAAAGGTTCTTTCTGAAGCTGGCAAAAAGCAGAGAGTTACTGATGAGTCGAAGGAGCTGGAGAACATTGTCAAGCAGCGGATAATCAAGAAGTCTAAATCAAAACACTGTGAAGGAACTGTACCTGAGGACATCATGCTGAACATCCGCTGTTACATGGAGTGCTGTGTGTTTGCTGGGAAAATTGAAAGGGCATACCGCTTTCTGCTAATGCAGCACAGAACCATAGCCCGACGTAAACATCTGAACACGGACATCTACAACATCATGATGAAGGTGTGGGCTAAGAAGGTGAGTTCAACAATTAATACATTATGTTTTAAAACTGGACCTTTGTGGGTTTGGCAATGGCTTTTTAGATTAAATAAAAAAATGATTTTCGTCAGTCTAATTGTTGAGTTTAATTGTCACTTGTTTCCTCCATGTTATTAAACATTTTTGGAGTAAGCACTAGTATTAAGTATAAGTGGAAGAAAAGTTTAATGGTCATGCCTTGTCTCTCTCTCTGTTTTAAAGGGTTCACTAACTAAGATCGGCCACCTGTTCGTTCTGTTAGAAGAGCTTGGTCTGAAACCAAATGTGGGATCATACAGTGCTGTACTGGAGTGTATGGGCCGCAGTCCCGACTGCTCACCAGAGATTGTCACAAGGTTTGTACAGGCACACATACCACCCACACAACTTAAATTATGTCAGTTTTGGGGACATTACATAGCCATACATTATTTTCCTGGAGACTTACCCCAGCTGTGAACTGGGGACAGCTTGTTCCTAAGTGGTTTTTACTCTGACAAGTTTGTGAAAACATTTTAAAAGTTAACACATTGGTACAATATCATTTAATTTTTAACAACAGGGCTGTTTGAATTCTAAAGGAGGGCTGTGGCAATACATAGGGTTACCAGCAGGGGTCAGGCTAGGCTCATGGTTTGTACACCCTTTGTGAGTTATGGAATATACGATTTCTTTGTGATTGTAGCCACGATTGTCATTATTTGTGGCCATTTTTATCTAAAACTAATTGTGTCAGAGAAGCAGCAAAATATATCTCTATGGATCTGGTGTGGACCCTGGTGGTGCGTTACTGAGTCAGCTTAAAAGCATCGTCTGTGTGTAATTCCTGTGGTTTTTTATAATGCAGCTATTTTGCTACTGCATGCTGCATTGATTTAGTTACTGCCAGATCTGATGATTACTAATGGAAAACACTGCACTTGACATTGTAGCCATGTTCCCAGTTATCCTGGTTACTAACATTGTGTAAACATGTTCTCAGAGATGAAAGTACAATTTGGTTCTTTATTCTAGCTGCACATTGTGAATTAGGCATATATTGATATTTCTGTGTCTCAGAATTGAACATTTAAATTCCTTTTAAGTATTACAGATCAATATCATATATTGCATGGCATCCCATTCTGTCTGCACAGTGGGACGTAAGATGCAACAGGTAAATTAGCTCGTCAGCGTCATGCATGGGGCTTGACTGTAGGAAGTAAGACTTGTTAGTAATGTATGCTCCCTCCCTATAACTCCAGCTTTACTTAAAATATAAAAGTTGTACAACCTAATAGTTGTTTATGTTCTTTTCCCTTTTCCCTTTTTGTTGTTCATTGTTGGCTTATTTAGTTGAGGGTTGCAGTGTTAATCAGATGCTGGTTTTAAGTCTCTAGTAGTGCTTTTATAGTAACTGTGCAACTAAATGCAATTATGTCTATTATTATTATTATTATTATTATTATTATTATTATTATTATCATTATAATTTTTATTTTTATTCCTAACACTTTGCATCTCATTTGCTGTTCCTTTGCTGATAATGTTTCCATGGCAACCAAGCATCGAACAGTTGTTTCTTACATTTTTGTGTTGACTGCGAAGGTTTGTTTGATGATTATTGAAGCTTTCCACGGGGCTTCTTAAAAATGTTTTGGTAGTGGCTGCATGCTGACAGTTTTAATGAGGCGGACTTAAACTAATTCAGTTGTTACAAGATAGCAGAACTCTGCTGACATGGATACTAGGGTATTTTAATTTATTTTTCTAGCAAGGTGTTGCAACTCTTTTCATCCAGGACAACCTTGACAGCCAGCAGCCCAGTTGTGTCTCTGCAGTAACTAGGTCATCCAGAAAAATCACTGTTAAGTATTATTAATTGAGTTTTTATGTCACTGACTGCGTATCAGACCCACACTTAGAATTATTACATGACATTTAGCACATACAGTATACACCTACTGAGCCCAGCTAACAGCTCCAACAGTACATGTGTCACAGTGTGTCTCATATTGAATTTTCCCTTTTTTTTTTAATGAGGGACCTAACATTAGTCTGGAGTTATTATAGCAGGAAAAACTACAGGGCATATTGGGTGTTTGTTTCATTTACCCTAATGCATGTTGATATGTAGACCCAGCTGAACATGCACTTTTCTATTTATAAGACACCTGCCCTTTTTGAAATAGCAAGCACATAAGTTGTTACAGATAAATAGAAAGTAAACAGGTCTATTTACTCGAGCCCAGCCTGACTGATACCAACCTTATCAGACAAGTTTAGCTTAGCACACATATATATTGGTATTGGTTAAGTTGCAGTACACAAATACCTAAGATTGGTTTGAGGTCCTTTAGAAATGGTGTCGCCATTACATTGTTTGTCCACCAGAGAGCACTGAGAAGTTTTTTCTCTTCTTACCGAAAATGTCTGTGTTAAAACGTGAATTGAAGGATACCTCATTTTCAGATATTTTTATTTTTAACTCTCAAATATCAAATATTAAATATACTGTCAATATCTGCATCACCCTCAAATATCCATTGTTGGTTTGGCCCGCATATTTACTAATTAACTTGGTACATTGTCTGCTTGTTGTGAAAAATATCACTTGTAGTCTAAACAACAAGTGCATTTTTTTTAGTTTACGAGTTGACAAGAACTACCTGAATGCACCATAAGTTTTGGTCTTTTTGACATAAAACCCCCTCAGTCAGAAAAGGAGTGCACTGCAGTTTCAGCCAACAACTGTCAGCCTTCTGAAGGTCTGACCTTCCTAGGCTCTGTCCTTTTCAAGAAGGCACCTTGTGTAGTTTCTAATCACAGCATGCAAAATAGGCCACTTCTACAACATAATTTTGCAGTGAAATGATAAAATCTTGTCACCCCCCGTATCAGTGCTGGCTTGAGTATTTGTTTGAGAGCTTCATCAGCCTCAGTCACATCAAGTGCTGTTATACAAGCTTGTGCACACACACATACACACTCTTATACTTTCCTCCCTCCTGGACTCTGGGGACATCACCCTATACACCATGGCGGGGCAGTCAGGGTTGGCGGTAGGTGTCTGGTTGGTCCATCGATCACTGTAAGCCGATGCTTAAATGACACTGTTGTTCTTCAGTGGTGCACTTCTGCTCAGTTTTTGGCCAAGCAGCCTCTCTTTTCTTTTACCCCACTCACTATCATCATTTTCTCTGTCACTCAATTTATTTGTTGTCTGCCTGTCCTTTTCTTTACTGTGTTGTCTCCCCCTTTATTATGGCCCGACTGCTGTTCTCTCCTAATATCACTCTCGCCTCGGAAATCTCCCCTGCAGCATCCTCGCCCTCAATGTACCAATATGTTCCCTTCTCCTCTGTCTGTCTCTCTCTCACACTCACACACACACACACACACACACACACACACACACACACACACACACACTCTCTGTCTCTGTCTCACACACACACACACACACACACACACACACACACACACACTCACACACACTCTCTGTCTCTCACGCACACTGACTCACGCACACACTTATCCCTTTAAGTTTTCCCTTTTGTAAGTGCTGTGTCCTCCAGAGCTCTTTGCTCCCTAGGGTGCAGCAGAGCAGTCACCAGGCTGATTATGCTCTATCTTTCAACCTCTCTGCTCTCTTTGTTCCCCTGGACCACACTGCCAGCACCCAGACTAATCCTCTCTTTGTTCAAGGTTCTCTCATTTACTCAGACCAAAATTGCACATTGCATCACAAGAGACTCTGAGGCATGAGTGAAAATACAAAAAAATCTTTGACCTCTTTGGCTTGCTTTAGAAATATTTCCGAACTTACAGTTCATAACTTTAAACTGCAGACTTATGACGGGATACAATGTTTATGAATTCATTCATGCGCAGAACCCGGCACACTTCTAATTGCATTAAGTCGGTGAAAGTTACTGAGCCAGTGTTTCCTCCAAGTGGTAATTAATGTTATTTATAATTGTCTTGAGGAAAAGGCATGCAGGGTTAAGCAGAGCTCTCTCATCCTCTGTGGTCGATGACAAATGGCTTTTCCTCACTCCTGTCTCTCAGCTTAGTCATGTAGTTCTTTTGTTAACCTCCAGGGAGCAGTGCAACCAAACATGGTATTTAGGCTCCTCAATCTTTGTTTGGCGGGGGCTTTATACCTCAAAGTGTGCATGTTGCTAACAAGGTTTTACCCTTGTAGACATGCAACATACACATAAATTAAAAAAAATACGATATTGTGTACACTGTTAGTCATACAAATAGCATCACTCATCCAGTTAAACATACAATGGAGCAGTGTGCCAAATACACTGGTAATTATATATTCTTTATTCTCTGTTTCCAGACATTATATTTGTATAATTTATAGTACCCAGCCTTTTTGTCTGTGCACCCCCTCAATGTTAGGCTTTGTAAAAAATATTGCATAGGCCTAATTAATGCAATAGATAGATAGATAGATAGATAGATAGATAGATAGATAGATAGATAGATAGATACTTTATTTATCCCGAGGGAAATTCAAGTATAATAAATCAATGTACAGCAAAGTAACACTATATACCACAATCGATGAATGATTTTCAAATATTTATCACTTTAGCCCCTGAATCCCACGTATCCCAGCTTATTAAAGATCCACCAGGCTCAAAATTTTAATTCACAGTCCTTCTTTGGTATCATATAGATAAAATTGCGTCATGGAATAATCAGGTTATTACACCTCTCATTTGTATTCCAGGGACTGGTGGCACATTGGCATTATCGGCATTCTGTAGTCCACTCATGGGCACTGTGCTCACTCTTGGAGATCTCTTGGAGATTCTATTTAAATAAACATTTCACTGATGTCGTCAGTGTGCCCATCTGCCTCTGGATCAAACTCGTACTCTGAGTCTGACAGAAAGGCCTGTCAATGCAAATACTTAAATTGATATTCTGCAACTGTCAATCAGAGAAGTCGAGAGATATACAGTGATCCCATAGACAGGGGAGGTTTTTTTTAAGCTGAATTAATCAGAAGCCCAGCAAGTTATATGATTATAATAGTTCCATTCCCACATCAACAGGCAGGTCAGAAGGTTGTCAACTGTTGGTTGAACTTGTGATCTGACTCCAGAGTCTGCTCCATTATAATAACCATAATCTCCCTCATACATGAAAATATACTTCTTGTGTCATCTGATGGAGTTGTTTTCTGGCTAGGTTTCCGAACAGTAAATCTGAACAAAGTCTGCGTTACTCTATTGGAAAGGGAAAGTATTGTAATTACTTTCTGCAACAGGATTGATTGTAGGTTATGTCTTCTTAATCTGTTAGTATATATACTGATATGTCTCTTAGTCTTTTGTTGGCAAAATATGAAAAAATCAATCAAATTTGCTGGACTAGTACCCTCGCACGGGTATTACAGAATTCTATTTTAATAGTTATTACCAGTTATGTTAGCCATAGTTACTACACTTGTTTTCACATGTGCAAGTGAGAAGGGTCAACATCTGGGACTTCATTATAGCTGCTAAACAGTATTTGTATACAGTTGTGTGTAAAAATGTAACTTGGAAGGTGAGCGATGAACAAAAAAACCCAAAGCTCAACTAATTGATGGAACTGCATTTAGTTTTACTACCTTTCACAACAACAAGCTGAGTTACAGTAAATTAGCAACAGAGCTATCACTAATAACTGATTTTTGTCTATTGCTAATATACATTCTGTACACTTAGACACACACAAAAGTCAGGTATGCATGTATCATGGGAAATGCAGGGAGGCTTTCACAAAACACACCAAAAAAATGTAAAATATAAACTGAAGTTTTACTTGAGTTAAATCTTATTTTACAGTTAATCACAGCATAAACAAAGCAAGGTATGGGGTCCATAATATTATATTTTGACATTGTTAATAGTAATTGTGTCTGTATGTTACTCCTAATATTGTTTGCCTAACTGTTGGTTACACTGATCAGCCATAACATACTGAGCACTTACAGGTGAAGTGAATAACACTGACTAGCTGGTTATCATGGCAGCCATCAGTAGGTGGGATATATTGGCAGCAAGTGAACATTTTGTTCTCAAGTTGATGTGTTAGAAGCAGGAAGAATGGGCAGTGTGAGGATTTAAGCGATTTTGACACGGGCCACATTGTGATGGCTAGAAGACTGGGTCAGAGCATCTCCAAAACTACAGCTCTTGTGGGGGGTTCCCGGTCTGCAGTGGTCAGTATCTATCAAAAGTGGTCCAAGGAAGGAAAAGTGGTGAACTGGCAATAGGGTCATGAGCGGACCACGTGCTTCAGTGAGCCATTGTACAAGCGGTTGTAGCTCAAACTGCTGAAAAAGTTAATGCTGGTTCTGATAGAAAGATGTCGGAACAAACCGTGCATCACAGTTTGTTGTGTATGGGGGTGCATAACATTATGACCACCAGGGTGCTCAGGTGGTCCTAATGTTATGGCTGATCAGTGTATATCATGTTGCTGTTGGGAATGAATTGCAAAGCATGTACGATTTCTGCTTTTTTCCTTTGCAGGTATCACATAGAGTGTTAGGATACAGTACATGCCACAGTAATGTATTGAACCCCCTTAATATGATGTGTTTGACAGCTTAACCAGATCCTGTCTGATCTGTTTACTGCTACTATAACAATGCCCATTGATTAGGGTATTGGCAATTCTTAAGAAACTAAGCAAGATTTAAAAAACAGAAATCTCAGAAGCTGGCAAAATATTTATTGAGTCACCACTAGTATCCCCAGGTCCCCACAGATATAACATATAACATGGCTGAAACCTGCTTAAGGGACAATAAAAACCTGGAACACCGACTGTCTTTTTATATCCAGATGCCTGAACCAGATGGAGAAAAATGGCGTGTCTGTGGATGATGTGTTCAGCCAGTGTGTCTTCCAGCAAGATGAGGGAGACATGGTGCTAAAGGCCGTGCGTTCCGTCCAGCCCGACTACCAGCCCCATTTCAACTTGATCAAAAACGAATACTTCTCACCACTCGTTAAGGACTTCTACGCACAGGTATCACAGGATAGCTTTGACCTATGTACCACATAGGTTGAGACTATTAGCTAATTTTATTGAAATTCAAATAAAATTGTATTGTAATACAGTAACCATCAATTGAGACAAAACAACAGTGATAACTGTCAATGTTGTTTTGTCTCAATTGATCTTATAAATACAGATCTCTTAGATCTCTTGATTTTGCAATGTTTGCTGTTATTGTGAAGTACAAACTGTTAAGGTTATTTCACTTCAAGTGGTAATAATAATAATAGTAATAATGTTTTGTTGTTTTTCTAGACTTAAACTTTCATTGTTGCATATATATTTAATGTGAAATACTTAAAATTTGAAACCACGTTTTTAGGAGATATAATTGGTACATTTGAATGTCATCAGCGTATGGATTGAAAACACGTGACAATGTGAGATGTATAGCAGAGAAATATCAGTGGACCTGGCAGTAATCCTTGTTTGCAGAAGTTAACTATAAGTGAAGCATTCAGAGATGCATGGGCTTTAACATGCATCTTTATATTAGTATACTAACTGACAGGGCTTTCTTTAATTCACAGAAAATAGACATCATAACCAATATGATGTACATCTAAGTGTTGGCTGCTTGTCTTCATGCTTCAGTCTTAATGTAAATCCTGTGGATGTAACAGTGTCTACTACATGCTAATCTTTGGATGGTAGATCCAGGCAAATTTTACACCCCACTTTGTAAAAAGGTGATGTAAAAAAAGCACCAATTTAAATGTAAAGCTAAAAAGCATTGTACAAAGGAATTAAGTTGCACAAGCATTAATATATAACTATAAATACAAATAAGAGGTTTTTTTTTTTAAGGCTGAGTCTTGTGGATGTTTTGAGAGTCAAAGCACCAGAGAGCTGGGAAAGCTGTCAGAAGGCTCCAGCGTGACTACGAAAGATTTGATTGTCACCCCTTCACAGCCAGACAGGCACTGGCCTATTTATAGTGAGCCAACTCTCCTTTCTAATGGGTCCTCTGCTTTCCTTGCCTCTCCTCCTCTCACCTCTCCTCCCTTTTCCCCACCTCCCTTCCCCTTCTGATTGTCACATGATTCATTAAGAGCTTTTTGTTCAATTGCAGTATTTTTTAGCCCCATTACTTGCACCACATTCACTGTGGTCTTATTCTGAGTAACATATTTTTGGCCTGTGTGTGATGGCAGCAATCAGCAGGTTGTGTATTTTTATCTTAGGAGTGTATGTTAAACAATGCTGCTTAGTGAAATGTGAGGCAGGTCAAACGTGACTGCTCCATTACTGTTGCCTCTGATTGCATTTGTAACGTTGACTAACTAGTGGTTATCTGACTATGCCTGTGACTTTTTGGCAGGTTTATTTAATGAAAGGCTGTCAAAATAACTGGTCCACTAGATAACAGAGGAGCAGACTGGAAGGTCTCTGGAGGATTTTGAATGTGTTAGCAGCAGACACACAATCTAATTAGAATATTGTTTGTTGGTGTGAGATGGAATTTTGATTGAGTTGATGCTCGTACAGAATGCAGTTTGATCTGGTTTCAACTTGTCATCAGAGATTTTATGATATTTTATCATTTGATCATTATTATCATCTGGCCTATATGTGTGCCCCTAACTTTGTTTGTTTTCATCACACTAAAATTAATTTGTATTGTCCTCAGTCTCCTGGTCAAATCTTGTTAATCCATCTAGTGATTGCATTGTGAGCTTCACACAATAGAGATGGGAAGGAAAAGCAGTATTATAGGTTTGGAAATTTGAAATTATTCAGTTTAATGAAGTATTCAAAAAAGTTCACACAGCTGCACGTTAACAATATTTCCTTTCTATAGAGATTTTTACTTTTCTTTGTACAAGCTGCAAGTTTGTACTCTAAAAACTATCGTGCCAGCACATTTTTCACTAGCTATCTATTGATTTCACCCCATTCTACTAATAATGAGGTGTTTGTTTCTTTCTTGGCTCGTATATTGTTCTGAAGTTGTAATATTACTATAAGACCTGCCTGGTGAGAAATTTATGCACCACACTACCTTAAGCCTTACTCTCGATGCTGTCCATGCTACATCTCTCTGAGGCCTGATTCACAGTCCATCTTATCTGCTGTCAATGAGCTAATAAAGGTTCTTACTGACGGACTATATCCACTCATGCCTACAACCTCTCTACGATGTGCACAGATAATGTCCTGCGCTCTTATTGCCTTGGCAAGGTCACCATCTCTTTTAACAGTAATTGACTTTTAAGCCCTGTTGCTAAGTTGGTCACCCTGTTAGTGCAACCCACTTTGATCTGACAGGATGTAAGACTACTGGCACTGCATCAAGGGGTTTGATGCTCATCAGCATTTGTAAGTAACACAGATGTAACCAACAATCATCTGAAACATCTCCATCCAAGCTTCATGTTGGATAATCCTGCTATTCAGTGTTCTGTTGAATGCTGAAAATAATAAACTGGCAACAATTAACTCTTTGTTTGCTTTCTAGGAATACTGAACCAAAGCTGGTGTGATTGAAACTCTGTTAAACACTCTCTTGGCGGCAGCTTGAGATGGTTTTATGACTTGGCCTTTGCTCGCTGACAAATTCTCTCTTTTTCTAATTGATCATCTCAGGCAAAGCTTATCCCCAGGTTATATACTACAAACTTCCAGAAAGGAAGTTTCCAAAAATTAAGGTCAGGGTTTGTCGATCTTGCTGTGTGTGGAGGTTAAGCAAAGGGCAAGGAAGTCCCCCAATGTCATACAGTACGAAGCAGTCATTATTTTTATGTTTTTGTCTTTGTCTCTGTTGTGTGCTTGTGTATGTGTTCTAGAAGGGAGACTACCAGTACCCCAAACTGGACTTAACCCAGAAGGAGCTTCAGGAGCGTTTCAAACGTCAGCTCAGCATCGAACAAGCCTGCACTGTCACCATCGATTCTGTGGAGATTTCCAAGCCCGTCACTGCAAAGATAATCAAAATGGTAAATATATATATATATATATATATATATGTATATGTAAATAAATATCTCTCTCTCTCTCTTTCTCTCTCTCTCTCTCTCTCTCTCTCTCTCTCTCTCTCTCTCTCTCTATACACATTTCTCGACCTTCTGCTAAATCCAGTGTACTAACTCCAAATGTAAGATACATACTGTAGAGGGCGGATTTATCTTCTCAGCGTGGTTTGTTTGGAGTAATTATATTAATATAACACCATTTAAGTGGTTATGATGCATTGACACATGCATTGAAATACTTCTTCTATCTAAGGTTTCCCATTGTCTCCAAGAGTTGAGTTTCTCTGATATAAACTTTGAAATTATATGCATTTAGGCCTGACAGGTTAGAGGAAGAAACATATTCCTGTGGTGTGCCTTCTTTCCAACTCTGGCATTTACAGTCCAGCCTGGCTCGTCTGCCTCTGCAGATGGGCTACGTGGGAAGCGAGCAGGCTGAGAGTCCCTGGTGGTCAGGAAGCATTTACAGACAGGCAGGGCAGAATAATAATGTATTGTAATGGAGGCCTCTGGAGAGAACGCAGAGTCACCTCTCCATCCACAATCCAGACTGTCTCTCTGCTTCAGTCAGACTGGGTAAAAATCTTCAACTGAAGAGTGAACATGAACACATACACACAGTCGTACACAGAACATACATATAACCACAATGCCTCCACAGGCACAAGTATTTACATGAACAAAAGTGCTCACCCATCTACGGATTCACATTTTCCATTATTTAGTTAGTTGTTTCATGTAAGTCACAAATTGTATTATAATGCACCAAGTAAAGTGATATAATAAGTAGGCTCCAGGCTTAAATTAAGTTCTCTCCCACATTCAAAAAATATTAGATCAACATATGTACCAAAGTGTGAGAGCACAGTATGGTCTTGGTTTAAATTGGTTTAAAAGGAAGATAATCATCATGTGGGTTAAAGATACTCAGGTCTCTTTTCCCTTGTGACTGAAGGTAAAAACAGCTCATTCTAAGGTAATAAAAAACAAAATTCTTATATTCAGGGCCTTATAAACTAATTAAAACATATCTATTAATCTTGTATTCTATTTCTGTCAATAGATCAACCCTAAATGTTACAGACTCGACCTTTAAACTTGACCATACTGGAATGCGAATAATAATTTATCAATGATAAATTGTGTGCCTCCCAACAAAACCTTAATAATTGACCAAGACAACCAAGAAAAGAAAGTAGAATAGGTTTTTCCTTTCCATTTTAGTCTTAGATGAATAAGTCTAGTGGCCTAGTTGTGTTTGTCTCAGAAGGATAGTCTGTTTTCTCCCCCGTCATCTGGAGCCAAACAAGCCTAACCATCAAATGGAATGTATGCTTATGTTGCACGATACTGTATGTCCAGTGAGAGGTGGCTCCATCTACGGCTTCACAATTTATAATGGCTTTCCATCTGGTTCATGCAGTATGTGATAAACAAGGATTGCTGCAGGATTGTTTGTTTCATTTGACACATTATTGACAGATTTCCTGCTGGCAGTGACTAGTATGAGATGGATGACCTTCAGTTGTATTGTCCTTTTAGAGGAGGCACCTGGAAAATCAGTGGGCAAAGTGGCACAAGATCCTCCTTCAGGCCCTCAGGGAGAGCAGGATGAACCTGGCCCAAAACAAGGACGACCGGTTTAGCCTTTATCCCTATCTCTGTCTGCTGAAGGATGAAGAGTATGTTGACGTCATGATACAGGTAATACAAACCACCTAACCCAGTCTAGCACTCAATGAAATGCCATAAGTCTAGGCTTTAACAAAGACGTCTCAATGTTAAGTTAAAGTGAAGCTCTTGTCAATCAAATCTCTTTGACCCAAACATTATAATAACGGTGTGTAGTGATGTCACTGTTACCCTCCTTTGTTTTCTCGACACTGCTGTTGTGCAATATGATCCAACCAATCTGGGAAACCACAAAACACTAATCAAGTGTCTGACAGTGACAACCGCTGCTAAAGCATCAAGCTTTATCTTTGGCAGCAAGGGAGAGCATGCTTTGATCAGATACCTTTGCTTCCAACATAGACAAATAGTATGTGACGTTAATTCTGAGCAGATGGGTTTCACTTTGATTTCCGCTCTGACTGAAGGATTTCTTTTTCATTAAATTGAATCAGATCTGTGAAGTTATCTGCTTGTTGTTACAGAATTGTCATAAATGTTTTCTTGTTTTTGACCTTTTTAAAATGTGTCCTACTCTTGTCCAGACTATTGCCAAAATGCCTATGAGTGGAGATGCACTGAAGTTTGTAGCCGGAGAGCTGGGCCAGAAGATCTACAGCAAGTACACTGTGCACCAGAAGCAACAAAATCACATAACGGATAAATTGGTCAACATTTACAACGATTACACAGAACTTCTGGCCAAAGATACCAAGGTACAGAATTCATCATGTTCCAGATGTCTTTCCATGTGTGTAATTCCATGTGTGTATGTGTATGGGTTTATAACAAACCTATAAACAAACCTATGTAGTTGTCAGTCCTTAGGGATTGCTTGGTGCCTACCATATTTATGTGATTTTTTTTAATTGAAAAGATGCAAACATCGCCTCTCTGAGATATGGAACAAGCACGATATTTCAGAAAACATTAATGTATTGTTATGTTTTGTGTCATAAATTGAACAAAAAAAAATACATTGATACACGTGATAAAGTTTGGGTGCCCTAAGGGTTCTGCATTTTCAGGATCTTAATCAGCTCTTTATGCATGAGTTGTCATTAGGAAATGTCAGCTAGTGCCAATTTCAGATCTTTACAAATACTCTGACCATAGGTTCCTCTAAGTGTTGCAGCCAGTGGCGTGCTTTGTGACTGTGTTCACCACCTCATTGACATGCAGTTCATTATTTTTTGGTGGAATAAATGACTGCATTTCCTCAATGGGATTTCATAGCCAGAGTCACTGACTCAATTTTCCACCAGTGTTTTGATGGTTTTGGTACACTGGGGATAAATGCTTATGTCATCAAGACTATAATAAGCAGGAGCTCATTATACTGCAGTAGTTAGTTATATTAGAAGTTAGTTGAGGTGTTTGTTTTATGCAAGTTATTTTACATGTAGCCTTTGTAGTTCAAATGTATGCTATATTTATTTATGCTTATATTTGTTGTTGTTGTTATGACACAAAACAGTAACTTGTCTGGGTTCTCACTACACATTTCCATTTTCTTGCTCGCATTTTGAAGGATAAACACCATAAGTGTCAACTCAGGTCAATCTTATTTATACAGTATGGACTACTATCACATCCCTAAAGAAAAACAGATCTATGGCTAATCTGTGGCTTTTTCAGTATTTATCATATTTCTTGAAACATGACAGCTATGGTTTGATTAGATCATAAAAACAGTGCTTGTTTGATTCATTATTTTAGGTCTGAATATTAAAATGGACTTCTAAGGGTCTCGCACATGTTGACATGCCTTGCAAACATCGTAGCGGGTTGTGATAATTTATTTGTGTTTTTACCTTACCTCCATTCTGCTCCCTCTAGGTGTACAACGACCTTCCCAGGGAGCGTTGGTGTAAGCTTGAGATGGAGAATATTGCAGGACCCACGGTGCAGGCAGGAAGTACCAATTGGCCATACATAATAACACTGGAGCTGGGCACTTTCCTCGTGAATATCATGGTCAAGAACCTTAAAATTAATAGCGACATCATAAACCCGTCTCACACCAGGCAGCTCATCCCCATCCTCTACCACATGTACGCCTTCCGAAGCACACGACAGGTACAGTAGATGCTCAATTCTTTCCAAGTGCTCACTTGGTATATTCCACCAGAATAGTTGGCTACCTTAGAGTTGGTAGTGATTATGCTACAGTGGTCTTGCCAAATAGACAGGGATTTGATAACCTGGTAACAGGATTCCTGAGCATTAACCCAGATCAAAAAAGATCCTTTCAACTGAGATTTATGTGGAAAAATGGTCAAGGATTATACTTAAAGAGATCTCCTGGAAACTAACATTGAGAAAAAGATTCAAAATAAAACACAGTGGCCTATTCATTATGAGAACCCTCCATCAATCAAATCATATTATCATATCCTTTTTGACTTTGAAAATTACACATAATTAAGTCTGATTAAAAGATTTACCAGGTAGAGTTTAAGTAGTTGTAGAGTTGACATTTTCATTAATAAGGAAAGAACTGAAGTGAAGCAGAAACAAAGGAAATACCTGAAAACACTTGACCTTCACTTTGGACTGTCTGTCCCTCTAAAACCTATTACCCTATACGTTTGTGCACCTGCCTATCCAGTGTGGAAGACCAAAGAGTGTGAATTATAAAACCATTTCCCCCTTGTGTGAGTTGGCGAGGGAACAGTTGAGTAAGATGAATAGGTTCCAGGCTAATCCCTTTTTTAGTGTCCCCTTAATTGACTTGCTGATTTACTGCCATGGGACCCTGCAGGAGGGTGAGCTGACCGTGTCAGGGGAGAGAGGTGCAAGGAGAGAAAGAGAATTGTGAACTTTTGGACTTGATGGACTTTGACAGTAGGGCATACTGTTTCAGAATTCTGTCCACCCCCGTGCCTTTTCTTTTCTCTTATTCCCCCCCTCCCCTTTCTCTCTCTTTGGAGGTTAGCCCATCAGGGGCGCATCCTAATGATTTTACAGCACAGCATGACAGTCTGACTCATGCAAGCAATGCTGAGGTGTTTTATTTTTTTGTCAGCTTACTGTATTTTTTCTTATCATGGTCTTTATGTCGAGTCCTACATGCTGTAAGTGTGAGTTAGAACTAAGACACAATAACTGTTTCACATCAAAGCCATGACTTCATCCCTAGTGTGCTGCACTGACTCCTGACCAGGGTTTTACGTAATTAAATAAAGAAATTATTGTCATCCCCTCTCTCAACCCCCTTCCTGTCTATCTTCGGCTATCCTATCCAATAAAGGGATAAAGCTCCAAAAACAATATTAAAAAAATAATAATAATAAAAAACTGCTATGAAACTGTTAGCATCCTTCAGTTCGGTCTATTTGAAACATTTGTCACTTTTTTTAAGAGCAAATTTGTTTGTGACTGTTTATTTAATATTTCCTATGATGTTTTACCCTCCAGATCGGCTTTATCAAGCCCCACCCCATTCTGTCTCACATTCAGCAGGAGGCAATGCAGATCAAATTGACCTTTGACTCAAATGTGATTCCAATGCTGTGTCCTCCTGTCCCATGGTGTTCTGTCAAGTTTGGAGCCTACCTGTTGACACCAACCAAACTGATGCGCGCAATGGAAGGGGCCACACAACACGAGAAGTTGTTGGAGAAGAGTCAGAACATCCAACCAGTCCTGGACTCTCTTAACCAGCTGGGCAATTGTCCCTGGAAGATCAACAAACCTGTGTTGGATATTATTATTTCAATCTTCAATGATCGGGGCTGTGATAAGTTAGACATCCCTCCTCCTCTGTCAGAGGCCCCCAAAGTAACCTATTCCTTCGATCCCACTCACACTTCTGCTGACAAAGTCCGCTTGAGGAAGGAGATGATTGAAGCCAAAAAGAAAACCACTGAAATGCACAGCATGCGTATGGATGCTCTATATAAACTCTCCATTGCCAACCACCTGCGAGATGAGATCTTCTGGTTCCCTCACAACATGGACTTCCGGGGACGTACCTACCCCTGTCCTCCGTACTTGAATCACCTAGGAAGTGATGTCACACGGGCCATCCTTCAGTTTGCAGAGGGGAAGCCTCTCGGTCCAAAGGGCCTGGACTGGCTAAAGATCCACTTAGTCAATCTGACAGGACTGAAGAAGAATAGCTCACTACAGGGACGCCTGGAGTATGCCACCACTATCATGGAGGACATACTGGACTCTGCTGACAACCCTCTCCATGTCAGTTTGTTTTTATTGCTATTTCCTGTTCATTGATAGCTTAGTCCAACCATACATTGATAGCAAATTATTTCCTATAAGAACTACTAAGTTTTGAAGTATACACAATTTCATTTTGCATTTTGCTACTATTTTAAATTTCTAAAATATGCAGATTATAACATAACCCCTGTCTTTCTTACTGGGGGAATGGTCACCTTAAGCAGTAAGAAAATCTAAAAGGGATCAAAAAAGGGCACATGAATATCTGTCAAAACAAAAAAGGAAAGTGCTTTGTGCTTGTGTTTTTCTTCATCAGGGTGGGAAGTGGTGGATGGACGTAGATGAGCCTTGGCAGGCTTTGGCCTGCTGCATGGAGATAGCCAATGCTGTGAGATCTCCTGATCCGACACAGTTCATCTCTCATTTTCCTGTTCACCAGGTACCACAAAACACTTGAAATAATTATTCATCTGAGTTGCATTGCAATTTGAATGTCAGGTTTAAATTCCTACCAGTATGTTCTTTATTAAGACATTAACCGCAAACCAAAAATGTAAAGGTAACTTTATTGTTCTTAACTTAGATGAAACACATAAGATGATTAGAACAGATTATTCTTAGGAATTTACTCATCTAACAACACCCTAGGCCATTCATAGTTCCAGTTTATAGCCTCCTAAAAATAACATGTGCCATTCAGTTATGTTTTATAGTGCTGTTTTCAGAGGGAACATCAAAGTTAACAAGGCAAGACCTCCCCAGCCATTTTAGGCCTTTTTATGTTATCTGCCATAAACCTGTAGCTCTAGTCTGACCAACCAGACCACAGCTTCAGCTGCCCTTTACAGAGATCTGGCTTATAAGCCCTGGCCTTCTCTTATAAAACCAAGCACCAAGAAAATCTTCTATTTTATCTAGTGTCAGTGTTGAGTGTACATTTATTTACTGCACTATGTTGCCCACTAACTTTTCAACCTTATGTCAGGAATTCAGTAATTTACAGGTTTATGCATAATCTGTGACCGTTAGAGTAAAGCAGCACTGTCTACTCCTCAGCCATTTGTTAATTGGCTTGTTATAATGTAGCTTTTATTTGGCTACTGATAAAATGTCTCTCATTTATTTTACTCTTAGGAATACATATTTTATATTTCCTTTGAATGATTAATGTTGATTATACCAAACAAATTACTGCAAATTCCCTTAACACTGCAATAAAAATGCAAGTAATGCAAGTAGCAATAATTTTCCTGCTTCCAGGCTTAAGCATATTCAAAAGAATAAGACAAAAGAAAAAGCATTAGAAAAAAATACAGTGTAATCAATGTGGCTACACATATTTAGCTCTTCATCGCAGCTGCAAGGTTTTCATTGAGAGCAGCTTTGAATTTCAACCTGCTTAGGTCACTGTAGATGAAGATTAGCTTTTGGCTAAATCTGTCACATTTAAATCAAATTGATGTTAATTAATGTGTACTATACCTGATAAAATAAATGAATAAAG